TGTTTGGGGAACACGGGCCGTGTGGGCAAGGTGACCAGGTGTGACTGCTGCTAAACTGCCTCTTGGCCACCCTGTGTCCTCAGCAGGCTGTCTCTGCACAGGACTCTGTGCATTCCTGGGGAGCCACACGCGTTGCTTCCACCCCGACGCTGGCAGGAGCCATTCTGCATGACCATCACCTGAATGATCGGCACCGCTGTCCCCACCTGTCTTCCTGCCCCCCATAAGCCTCATACATCACGGCTGCAGACTTGCTGGATGGGCTGTCAGGACTACATGTCTGTGTGTCCTGTCTCCATGACTACCCTGGGAGGCAGGAGGCTGTCCCACTTTACAGATGGGTAAGCGGAGGCCAGGCGAGTGATACAGCAGACCTCGCGGGGGGGGGGGCGGGGGGGGATTTCTACACCACTCTTGGGCTCCTTGTCACCATCTGTGGCCTGGTTTGCACTTGCACTTTTCCCTCTCCCCAAAGAATAACCTAAGCCACTCAAGTTCAGGGCTCACCCCGCCCAGACCACTGCCCAACTCCAGGGGTCCCTCCAGCCCTCTCAGTCTGGAGGCTTCGGGCCAATCCCACAAGACACTCACCCTGGGCGGCCGCTGCTTCCTGGAGGGAATGGGCCATCTGGGTGAAGGCGTCCTGCAGGTGGCTTCTCTCCCAGTAGTCTGAGGGTGAGGGACACGCCGGGGCTGGGAGGCAGCTCCACCAGCACCAGGCGCCAGCCTCTGCCTTCTCTGCCCCTCCCCATCACTGCCTCGGTGGCCGTCCTCCCGCCCCTGCCTCTCCAGGTCTGTGGCCTCCCTTCTCTGAGCAATCCACTCCCTTCTCCTGTGCTGTGGCGGCCCTCTGGGCGGGCACTTCTCCCTCTGCCTGTGTCTGTCTCTCCCTCTCCCTGCCCTTCTCCCGGCCTCACCAGCCCCTGCTCAGGGCCCTGGTCCAGGCAGGGTGGAGTCCTTACTGATCTCCACGTTGGAGAGGCCCTTGAAGGCAGCCGTGAAGGCCTCCTGGCACTGCTCAACCTGGGGGCCCCGGGCCCACATCTTGCAGAGGCGGAAGCGCTCAGCGTAGGATGTGAAGCAGAGGAGACAGGCCCAGGTGGATGCCCTGAGGACCAGCAGGGCCAGCAGGGCAGACGGGACAGCGCTCACCAGGGACAGTGGGGCCATCTAGGAAGGTCTCAAGGCCTAGGAGAAGCTGGTGACCTTTGTGAGGTCACTGCAGTGGGGGAGGGGCAGTGGCCTGGGGACAGAGGTTGGGTTTCAGTTGGTGGTCAAATGTCAGGCTCCCATGAAGGGTTCCAGGGGTCAGCCTACAGTCCCTAGGTTTGTAGTTGGTCCAGACGCCAGGCTCCCAAGAACCTCACCTGTGACCCTGGACGTCCTCACAGGTTAAAGGGTCTCAGGGACCCAGAGGCTGGCAATGCAGTGTGTGGTGGCCCCCAATAGACCCTAGGATGGGGGTGGGGGAAAGACGAAGACAGACACAGGGACACTGAGTGCCAGAAAGAAGACCAAACAGAGACAGGGAGAGATACCAACCCACCTCCTGGTGGGAGAGACTGAAGGGGCGAGGTGCAGGGACATGGACAGAGCACACAGCCCAGCTCCTTCCAAGGTCCCTAGGGCAGTGGTACAGGCCTGGGGTCCCTGCTGCCCCGTCCTGTGCAGGGCGCAGCCTGGGGAAAGCTAGGAGGCCGTATAGTGATCTCCGTGGGTGTCCTCCTCAACTATACAACCTCCTACCTCAGCCCGGGGGGCGCGGTAGGTGGACAGACCGGACAGATGGGCAAGGAGGGACAGGGAGGGTGGGGAGGGCCGGGAGGTCCCAGCCGCGATGGTGAGCCCCCGACACAGACCCACAGACACGAGCTTGTGTGCGGCGAAGGCCCCGCAAGGTCGGTTCTACGGGTGGGTGCCAGGACCCAGGAGTCCGGGCCCCCGGCCCCCTCCTCCCCAAGAAACCTAGGAGTCTAGGGCCCAACCACCTCCTCCCTCAGACCCAGGGTCCAGGCCCAGCCTCCTCCCTCAGACCCAGGGTCCAGGCCCAGCCTCCTCCCTCAGACCCAGGGTCCAGGCCCAGCCTCCTCCCTCAGACCCAGGGTCCAGCCCCAGCCTCCTTCCTCAGACCCAGGGACCTGGCCACTTCTCTCCAGGGGTCCAGGCCCAGCCTCCTCCCTCAGACCCAGGGACCTGGCCACTTCTCTCCAGGGGAGGTACAACCTGAGAGAAGTGGCCAGGTACCAGTCCCTGGCTTCCCAGGTACCAGTGGGACAGAACTTCACCAGTCTGGGAATTTGGCTCTTGGCCATCTGTGCTCTCTCCCTCCCAGACAGGCTGCCTGGACTCCAGGGCTGGGGAGAGGAAACCTTCAACCTGGGCATTTCATCCGGGACCTCCTCCTCCTCCTGACCTCTTGGCATTCACAGTGATGACAGCATGACCCCCAACCCCTGACTCTGCACAGCCCAGTCTTCTCGGCCACCTCCCAGCCCAGGGAAGGAGGTGCTAGCTCTCTCCCATTTTTGCAGGTGAGCCGGAGGAGGCTGAGCCCGAGGGAGGAAGAGACCCAGCCAAGGTCTGCCGGCTGCAGGTGGGAGGGGCCCTGGCAGCCCACACCCACCCTCCCCACTGGACCTCAGCCACGGGCCTCGCGTCTCCCAGCCGCACCGGGCCCCGCAGCTCACTCTCCTCAGCCCTGTCCCTCGTCCTGTTTCTCTCCTACCTGCCCCTTCCCATCCCCGCCGGCTCAGCGGTACCTTACCTGGCTCTGGGCTCACCCCTCCGCTGCGGGGCTCCTGGGTCCCGGTCTGCCTCGCCCCTCCGGGCTCCTCCCTCCCTCCCCTCCCTCCCCTCCATTCCTTCCCTGTCCCTTCTGCTGTCCTTCATCCTCCTTCCCTTCCGGCTTTGTCTCCTTCTCCGCGACCCTCGGCGCCTTCCCCACCATTTCGGCCTCCCTCGCGCCCTCTCGCCGGCCTCCTCCCCGGCCCGGCCCTCTCCCCCTTTCTCCTCCCCTCCCCCTCCCCCTCCCCCCGTCTCCCCTCTCTTTCTCCTTCCCTCCCTCCCTCCCCCTCGCGCTCGGAGCCAGGTCTGGAGCTGGGGGTGGGGTGGGGGTGGGAAGGGGCCCGGGCTGGGGAGCGACCTGCCGAGGAGGGCGGAGGGCGGGAAGGGGCGGAGGAGGAAGGGAGGCGGGGGCGGCCTGCGGTCCGGCTCCTTCCCCCTTCCCTCCTTCCCGGCCTCCCCGACCCTCCGCGGGGGCGAGAGTCAGGCCAAGGTGGGGAGGAAGGGGAAGGGAGGCGCCCCCCCCCCAGCCAACCTGGCCCGCCGCCCGGCCGGCTCCCGGCATGCCCCGGGGCTGCCTGGGGCCTGGGGAGGGGGTGAGGGGAGCCGGGAAGCGCGTCCCAGAGATTCCTGGGACCCGGGCATCGCCCCCACTCCCCGCCGGGCTCTCCCGGGAAACTGAGGCCCGGGGACAAGGGTCAGGGCTCGTTCAAGGTCACCGGGCGAGGCGTAGAGGAGCTCCCTAGGTCCGCAGGCCCGCTCGGGGAAGGGGTCGGCACTGTACATCCCCAGGCCTGGGTCCCCCTCCCCCTCTTCGCGGACCCTGGGGAGCCCCCAAGGGTCAGAGAGCAGACCCAAACAGTCTGGCACCATAGCAACCGGATGGCCCCGCCCCCTTAACCCCTGGAGGGCTGGACTCCAGCTGGGGCGAGGGAGGAGGTGGGGACCCCTGGGTTCCGGGGCAGGACCCCCACACCCCCTACCCCAATCCCGGCTGCTAGATCCTGGGGATCTGGACTCTGGGTTCTAGAGGAGGAGGGGTTTGGGGTCCGTTCCTAGGGAGGAGGGGCTGGGGTTCTGAACTAGGGTTTCCAAAGTGGGTGGGGGTTACGGTGTGGACTCCTAGGTCTGAGCGCAGAAGGCGGAGTGGGGGTGGACTCCTGGGTCCTGGGAAGCGTTGGCTAGGGGTTCGGATTCTGGAATTCGGGAAGGGGCAGGGTGGTGGACTCCCAGGTCTGAGGGAGGAGGGGGCTGAGGCCTGGAATCCCGGGTCCCCAAGGGAGCCTGGACGCTGGGCCTCTCCTCCGCCAGACATCCCCTGCCCCCGGCGCTGACCCGGGCCTGTCTGGCAGCCCAGACAACCTCCCCCTCCTCCTCAGCCCCCTCCCACTTGCACGGCTCACCCTTGACCCCTCAAAGCCCCGCAGCCCCATCCCTCCCCCTCCCCCTCCCCTGCAGCCAGACGTTAACCGTTCCGCTGCCGGAGGCACCTCCAACGCCAGACTGTCTTCCTCCACCTCCCCAGCGGTCCCTCAGTCCCTTCCACCCTCCGATCCTACCTATCCCAGCCCACCTCTCTCCTCCCTCTTGAATCTAGGAGATGTTCCCAGCTTTTGCAGCCTCTGGACCCCGGAATTCAGGTCCCTAGCCCCCTCTTTCAGTGATTCCCAGCCCCCCAGCCCCAAGAACCCAGAAATCCAGGCCCCGCAGCCTCCTCCCTTGGGGACCCTGGAGTCCGGCCCAAGCCCCATCCCCCTCTGGTTCCGCAGACTCACGGCTCCCGCGGCTCCCGCGTCGGGGGAAGGGGTCTCCTCCACTAGCCCCAGGCCCGGCGGGAGGCCGGCCGCCGCCGCGAGTCCTCTCCATCCTCTCCCGCCTCCGCCGCCCGCGGCCTCTCCCCTTCCTCCCGCCGCCCCGCCATCCTCCTCCCGGTCCCCGCTCCCTCCGGCCGGCGCCTCCCGGCTCTGCGGTCCGGGGCTCCCCTCCCAGGACCCCGCTGGGCGGCGCGGTTCGGACCAGCCCCCTCCCCGGGGGGCCCCCGCCCGGCCCCTCCCCGCTGCCCAGCCCAGTCCGGCCTGGCTTCCCCCCTGCCCCGGAGCTGGCCCCGGTCCAGGGGAAAAAATTCCATCCAGCCCCGGGGAGGAGGAGCGGGGCGGAGGAGGGAGCGGGGAGGGGAGGCCGGGCCAGGGGAGCATGACGCAGGGAGGAGGGAAGGGACAAAAGAGAGGCCGGGAGGCGGCGGGCGGCCGGCGCGCCCACTGCTCCCTCCCTCCTCCCTGGCCAGTCCCCGTCCTCTCGCGGCGGCTTTCCCTCGGTCCCCTCCGCCTCTCCTCCTTCCCTTCTCCGGCCTCCTCCCTCTTCTCGCCAGCCTCCCTCCTGGCCCTGCGCGCTCTCCCGTGCCTCTCCCTCCGCTCGTGTCATTGTGTCATTCTTTCTTTCCTCCTCGCTCCCGTCTCGGTACGTCTGTCCTTCCACTGCCGGCGTGTCCTCGTCCTCTGCGCTGGGGCGACGGGTCTTCGCGTCTTACTCTCTCTCTCCGCCGGCCCCCCTCCCTGTGTGTCCCCTGCCTGCTCCCGGGGCTCCATCCTCCCCTTCTCCGGCCTCCTCCTTCCGCGTCTCCTCTCTCCTACACCTTCCCCAGGCAGGCTCTGCAGTTCCCGCTCCCTCTCGGCTCTCCCAGCCTCCCTCCCCTCGCTGAGGTTCGGTACCCCCGCCCCCCACTGGGGACTCGAAGGTGAATCAGACCCAAACGTGCCCTTGCAGCGGGAGCTCACGGTGTGATGGGAGAGACAGACCCAGCCGCAGACAGTCCCATTCCGGGGTGATGGGGTGTGACCGAGGGCGAGACCAGAGGCTGAGAGAGCCGGGGCGGAAGGAATCCTCGCAGCAGGTCCACCAGGGGGGACCTCCAGAGAAGGCGTGGTTGTGGCGTGACCTCCAAGAACCAGAAGTTAGACCTGAATTGTTGAGAGGGGCAGCAGTAAGGGCGTTCCAGGCCCAGGGCACAGCTTAAGCAAAGGCCCAAAGGCAGGAAACCAAGGTGATTCCGGAGGACAACAAAGCAGTCAAGTCTGACTAGAGCGGTAGGGGCCGGGAGCCAAGGAGCGTAGAAGAAGCTGGGGTGAGTGGGCGGGGCCGTTCTCGGCGTGTCCAAGGCCAGGCTGGGAACTTAGTCTTCCCAGAGTGACAGGGAGCCACGGAGGGTTGTGAGCAAGGGGAGGGACGGGGAGAGATGGATGGGGTAGGACCAGCGGGCAGAGAGGACCCCGAGGGACTGGGCACTGCTGGGTTGTGGGTGAGGGTGAGGAGCCAGGGGATGGGAGTTGTTCCCAGCGGGGAGCCAGGACGAAGAAGAGGGTGGAGGAGAGAGAAGACGACGCTGTGGGCAGCTTAGAACCTAGGGGAACGTTAGGGGCTGGGCACATTTCGGGAGGACATTCAGGCAGTATAGATTTATGGTTCTAGGGCTTCCTCCCACCGTGCCCCCAGACATCCAGTTCTCTGGGGACAACTTTTGCTTACAAATTTCCTGCGCATTTTTCCAGAGGAATTCTTACACCTATGCAATATGTTATACCATCCTCCTCTTTCTTGTCCCTAGATGGAATCACGTTATTCTGCACCTTGCTTTTAAAAAAAAAAAAAAAAACACTATGCCCCAAAGATTCACCCACATCCATGCCATTAGAGCACCCTCGTTTGTTTAAATGGCTCTATAGTATTCCCTTTATTTATCCATAATTCATGCAATCAGTTGAGAGACTGGGAGTTGAAACTAATGAATATTGCCTATTCAAATCTTCTGGTTTGTGTGTTTTTTTAAAATTGATTCCATTCAGTGTTTTTTAAGCCTCTGAAACCAGCTATTTGATAAATACCTCCAGATGTTTTAATTTTTTTTTTATAATTACTACAGTGGTGCCCCCTTATTTAGTTCCATTTTCCAAAGTTTCAGGTATCCACAATGAACTATAATTTGAAACATTATACACAGAAAATTCCAGAAATAATTGACAAGTTCTAAATCGTGCGTTCATCCAGGCAGTGTAACGAAATCTTGCACCATCATTTCCGGAACCTCTGTCATCCTGTGGACAGGTGTATCCCCCTGTGTATGCCACATGCCCATTCAGACTTTCAGTAGCTGTTTCAGATTGAGTTAGCAGATTGCCTTTTGTGATACTTCAGGGTTGTGTTTTACACAAGCCTTATTATACTTAATCGTGGTCCCCAAGTACAAGGATAGTGATGCTGGTAATTTTATTACAAAATATTGTTATAATTGTTCTATGATTGTTGTTAAGCTCTTAACTGTACATAATTTGTGAATTAAACTTTATCATATGTATGCATGTATAGAAAAAAGAAAACATAGAGCATTTGGTACTATCCAAGGTTTTAGATGTTTATTGGGGGTCTTGGAACATATCGTGTTCCCCCCATGGTAAGGGGGGAATACTTGGATGACAGAAATAATAATGTGAGAACCCATACCCTTATTGAATGACTGCTAAGGGCAGTCCCTACACTAAGTATTTGCTATGCATTACATAATTTTTCACATGGCCACCATGTTATTAGAAACAGTTATTATTTCCATGTAAGAACAAGGGACTTGAGGTTCTGAATAATGAGTTGCCCAAACTTACAAAGTCAGTGACAGAGCTGGAGACTTGAACCCAGGCCTCTCTGACTTGGGGTGGGGGTTCTTCCTCTGTGAAAATGTGCTACTTCTAGGGGTTGATGTTGTGCACATGTGGACTTGTCATGCCCACAAATTCACGTGTGATTCCAAAGGACCCTTTGTCAGACCCTGTACTTTGGTATCTGGAATTCTGTCCCTCTGCACTCACCTTACATGCCCTGTGGTCAGGACAGGACAGCAGCTGCACAACCATGCTGACCTTGTCCTGCCCTGATCCTGGTGTGTTGTGATTTCAGTGTCTGGGTCTGTCTCTGGGAATACACTGAGGGCACAGTCTAGGTCTGAGTCATCTCTGCATCTTCAAAATATCACCCAACATAGGTGTGGCTCAGAGCAGGGTCTCAGGAAAATGATAAGTGAATGAATAGGGGGATGGGTTGTGCTGGGACTTTGATGAAGTCCCTGGGATAAGAGAACATCATTCCCATAACTTCCTGAAACGTGAGGCCTCCATTCCTATCAGTTGGTAAGTCATGGAGACTACTTTTGCCACCATTCTCTAATGTATACAGTTCCAAATCCCTCAGCATGTGAGCCTCAGCTGTAACAATTTCCACAAAGACTGAGACACTCCCATCAGCCCTGGGGACTCAGGGACCCCTCACTCCCATCCCTCTGAGACTCGAGGCTGGCATTCCTGGCAGACATTGGCTCACAGGCATACTAGACCTTCTCTGCCTCCCTACAGCCGTAATTCCCACAGCCCTTACACATAGAGACTGCTATTCTCTTGACACCCAAGTGCCACCATTCTTGTTCCTGGGTTGGAACCATACTCCAATGGAAAATAGAAATTTTCTGCCCTTCACAAGGCCATCCCCAAATTTCTGAAATGGGAACAGCTAAACAGGAAGACACCCTGAACCTGTTCCAAACTAGGTCTGAGTTTAGGACTCTGACATTGATACCATGAAACAGGAGGCAGTGGGTCATAAAGAACATCAAAGTAATGCAGAATCCTCCTCGAATGAGAGATCAAGTCCAAACCCAGGGTAATCCTTGAGCAGCACATAATCCTTACAGGTGGGATAATCCTCAGACCGGCAGAACATAAAAACGCAGATGATCCAAAGGCCACAGATGCTTCCATGGCACTATTAAATAATCCAAAATGGTCACTTGCTCCTGTGGACTTGTAGGAATTGGAGATGGAGGCATCATTTTTGTTTTGGTGAATGACAAATCCCATTCCCATTATCTCTTCTGGTCAAGGAGCCTGGGAGATGGGTGTGGTTATTTGGGGAGGGTCTCCCCACAGCCTTCCTCTTTGCAATGGGCCATACCTACTAATTTTGAAAGAAAGCCCACATTCACATGACTTTTAATATAGTATATTGTTGTAATTATTCTGTTTTTATTATTGTTGATCTCTTGCGGCGTTCAATTTACAAGTTAAACTTTCTAATAACTATGTATAGAGAAAAAAGAGTCTACCTAGGATTCAGGACTATCTGTGGTTTCAGATCCACCGTGAGTCTTGCAATGTATTCCCAGTGATGAGGGCGACGACTGTTTGAAGACACAGAAGAGACATTGGAAAGAAGACCACGTGAAGATGCAGACTGAAGCGAGGCGTCTACATGCCATGGAGCAGAAAGGATTCCTACCAGCCTCCTTGATTTCCAAATCCCATCCTCCACAACTGTAAGAGAATAAATTTCTATTGAACAATAACATTAGAAATGAGAACAAGTCGTGTTGTTCCTATCTACTGTCAATATATTAATAGTCACTTTCAAATGTAAGCATTCTAATGTAACTTGGAGAAGAAATCATTGTCTGTTCAAGGTCAAATTTTATCATTCAGTTGAAGTGTGTGTGTGTGTGTGTGTGTGTGTAATTACATAATTACAGGAGTAAGAGGCTGAAATAATTAATGATTGTGAAAGCCAGCAGGATGCAGGTGGGTTCTTCAGGAGAATGACTCTAAAGTAGATTAGAGTTCAGCAAATTAATTGGGGGAGCCCTCAGAATTCACTTGTGTAGGGGAGCAAACAGGTGAGCCAAGGAGAGGTTGAATGGTGTGCACTTATAGTAAAGGCCTCAACCAATCCCATAGGGAGCTGGGGAGCTGGATGGCTCCACAGACGCATCCTGAATTGGAACAATATAGCTAGGCCTTATACTGCTCATTGACCTGTTAAACAAAACTCTTTAGGCCAATTAAACTTAGCAGAGTTAATATGAGCAAAGAATGATTCATGAGTTGGGCAGCTCTCAGAACCAGAAGAGATTCAAAGAGCTCTGTCCAGCAGTGTTAGCAGAGAAATTTCAAAGCCTGAACACAGAAGCAAAACAGAAATCACTTGATTGGCTACAGCCTAGTTTCTGCCTTGCTTGGGCGTGGTGTGGTTAACCATTTGCATTGATTCAGCAGGTCTGATCAATTATCTGCCTGTGATCCCCTGAAGCTTGGCTGTTTGTTACAATATTACTGCCAAGTTAGTGCTATGGTGAGCGTATCCCCCCAAAACACATGTTTTGCAAGGTTAATTCCCAATGCAACAGAGTTGATAGGTGGGCCTGGTGGGAGGTGTTTAGGTCATGAGAAATTCATCCTCATGGATAAATTTATACTGATTATAAAAGGGCTTGGGGTTGTGGCTCAGTGGTAGAGTGCTTGCCTAGCATGCCTGAGGCTCTGGGTTTGATCCCCAGTGCTGCATACAAAAACTAAATAAACAAAATAAAAGAGCTTGAGGTCACAGGTTCAATTTCCCTGGTCTTTCTTACCCTCTTACCTTCCTCCGAGTGATGATGAAGCAAGAAGGCCCTGGCCAGATGTTGGCACCTTGCTATTGGGCTTCCCAGACTCCAGAACTGTGAGAAAGAAATTCTTTTTTTAACAAAATAAATGGCCCAGTCTGTGATATTCTGTTTAGTAGCACAAAATGGACTAAGACTGTTAGCTTTTCTCTTGTTTGCATACTAAGTTAGGTGGTTTGTTAGGGAACTCAAAGGGCAGCCAGCCTTAGGCTCATGGCCTCCTGCTTGTTTTGACTCAGTCGACCCATCACTGGATATGTGCTGACCGGAAAGGGGCTGTGACCTCCGTCAGGCAGCTCCCTTGCTCCGAAGGGGGTCTTTGTGAGGGAGGACTCAACTGCAGGCTCCCAGTCACCAATACTCCCAGCAACTACATGGACAGTACTCATGTCCAGAGGGGGCAGTCCACCCTCTATGCCATGTCTTTGACACCCAGGAACAATGAACAACTTCCACATAATCAAACAACTCATGAAATAAAACAGTGGTGTGTGTGTGTGTGTGTGTGTGTGTGTAGGTATACATTGATATATCAATAATGATATCAATAGTAAGAGTGACTCAATTAGATACTGTAATTAGGAAGAATATTTTCTCCTCTTGGAACCAACACGTGGATATAAAAACTGTAAATGATAACACAAGGCAGAACAGTAAAGACTAGAGAAGACGGAAACCCAGACCTCGTGTTTGCGCTAGGCAGCCTTTGTACAATGGTTTGGCATTCCAGCTTTCATATTACTAAAGGAAATAATCTTTAATAACTGTATTTAATTTTTTAATCATTTAATTCCTTTTGGGATGTACATCTTTTAAGAAAAGATGTTATTTGAAAGTTCTTTATGTATCTGAAGATGAATTTTAAAAAGATGGATGACTTTGTTGGCTAAAATTTCTTGAAGTGGAAGTAAAACCCTCTAATATCATGTACAGCAACTTCTATGAAGAATCATCTTTGATCCAGACATTGTAACGAATACAGAGAGCATAAAAGAAACAGGAAAGTTTGGGGAATGAGGTGCCTCAAACGCATTTTGTTCTTACTAATCAAACTTCAAAACAACAGATTTTTAAAAGAATACTTTTAAAACTACGTTCTTTATAGTTTTGAGTCCATTGAAGCTAAAACCTTAAATCGAAACTGTCAAGTTTGCTGCATACTACTGACCACCGTTTTACTGCCTCAGGATCTTGTATGTGAAACATTTGGGCATTAAACAATGAGGTGCCTTTTTAGTTGATTTATGACTACCTTAACTGTGACTCTGCTTGTTGCTGCGATATTTCTGGGTCTTGCCCGTAATGGACAACACAGCACGTGTGAATCATGGATGCACATGGAAAGGAAAATCATCATTGATGATGGAATAAGAAAGAGGCTGAGTGAATTAGAAATTACAAGCATATTGTGATTTGTTCTCTCTTCAGTTGTGTCCAGAAATAGACAGCAGCATCGGGCAGAAGAATTGCTGGTCATTATCAGAAAGATGGTCACATCACATCTGATTATTCTTCAACCAAAATTGACTCATGACCTAAGGGAGACTTGGGCATGGCCTTCCCACAGCATCCGAGCAGCATGGCGAAGCAGGTCTTCTATGTTCAAAGAGCTACCCGCACAAAAAGGAGACAGTATACTCTGCAGAAGAGAATCCCCACGTAGCAGGACTTACCGATGGCCAGAGGTACTTGTGGAAAACATGGTTTCTTTGGCGAACTTCCTGAAGAAGCCTCAGACCGACGTGCTCAGAGAGTGGAAGTACATGATGCATGCTGTAGAAGCTTTGCTATTCTGCTTCCACTAAGGTGCTGAAATAGGCGTGCAGCTCTTGAAAGTTGAGATAGGGATGGAAACCGAGGCATCATATTCACAATGTTGTCAGCCTTCCAGAATGTTCCCAGTGATCTCCACTTCCTGGTGGTCATTCATTCCTTTAGGCAATCTCCCCAAGTACACACTGGCCCTGCTGACTTGAGTATAACCTGGAACATGGCGAGGGATGGGATGTCATTGCCGAGATTGGATTACCAAGGGCTGTGACCTCTGTCTTGTTGGCAAACTCTTTGGGCTCCCTGGTTTTTCACATATGAATGATTAATGAAGTACGTGGTTATATTGTGAGCTGCCATTTTGGAAATGCCTATGTGTCAAGACACTGAGGGAAGCCCTTGGCCAACAGCCAGAAAGGAGCCAAGGTTCTCATTCCAATACCTCATGAGGAAATAAATGGTGCCACAGACCAGTGTGTGAGCTTGGAAATGGGTCATTCCCCAGTAGCATCTTCAGGGGAGATGGGGACCCCAAGTCAGCATGCCTGCCTGGTGAGGAACTGTGAGCAGAGGATCAAACTAAGCTATGCCCAGATTCCCAACCCACAGAAACTATAGGATGATGAATGTGTGCCGTTGTAAGCTGCTTAATTCTGGGGTGATTTGTTACGTAACAGTGGATAGCTTGTATGATTTTGAGATCTTGAAGGTCAGTTGGATTGTTCTATTGTCCTATTTCTCATCCAAGATTTAAGGACAGATTCTACCCAAGTGATATGTGATGTGTCAAGTGTGTGCAAAAATCTTAGGGAAAAAAACGAGAGGGCAGGACTTTCTCATTTTTGACAGTGTTGCACCAGGTGAATCAACCCTTCTGCGAAGACAGTTACCAGTGTTGGTTAGAGAACTAAAAGGGCCTTTACAAAAACCCAAAGAACGTTTACATGTTAAGGGAGCCTTTAAGATCACGACAGAGACGCTCCTTTGGGGAGGAATTTCCCAGCTGAGATTTAGAAAGTGAGAACTTGGAGAAGCACACAGGGCACTGGAAGCTGCTCAGACCCGGGAGCATTTGCTTATTCTGACGACAGAAAACGAACTGCAGAGTCTTCAGCAGTCTCCTGGAAGGTACCAAGCTGGCAACATGGCACACGGGAGCCTCCGGAAGAAGGTTCTTCAGTGGCAGAAGGAAAAGGATCCCAGACAGATGGGCTCAGGCAAAGCACCAAGGAAGTGTGCTAGCACAGGAGTCTGGACCTCTGCAGAAATCAAGGGCACTCCAAGGACTTAAGGGAACATAGATCAAAGAAGGGACTAGAAACCACGTGCAGGTGGCATGAAGGGGCTCGACGGGACAGGCAGTGGTGGGCAGCCATGACCACCTGGACCTGATGGGCAGGGAAAAAGGACGGGACCTGAGGCAGGAAGGAGTGTGGGTACCAGTCCAGCTTGTGGACACAGGACAGCGCAGCTGCAGCCAGGACTGTGGGGAGGGACCCAGGGGACTAAAAACCCTGCCTTTCCAAAAGCCCAGCGCTGCCTCCTGCTAATCCCAGAGGGCAAGGGGAAGCCAAGGACACAGTCCTGAGAGGCCAGCCTTCCTGGGAACACCGAGCAGAGAAGAGTGACTAGCAGACCGGAGGGTTCGTGCCTTCTTGCCATTTAGCACGTCCTTGTCCTTTGTTCAGACAGAGAAGCTCACCTGTCTAACACACAGGGGCGCCATCCCAGGAGCTCAGCTGTCACAGTGGAGTGAGGCCCTCTGAGTTACGCTCCTAACTAAGCCACCACTGTGCTTGTCACAGGAGACACTGAGATGAAAATGTCAGGGTGACTCCAAGGACCCAAGTCATCAGTGCTTCCTCTTATCATCCTGCCACAGGGTCCCGTGGGCGTTATTTGGAGATGGAGGTGTGAAGAGATTGCCCAGGGAATACTCTGGGTCCACTTCTAATTCTCCTTCATCCCCTGGTGTAGCAGCAACCCAATTTCCTCTTAGTAACCGGACCAGTCACCCTAGCCCAGTAGCCAGGGCCCTCCCTCTGCCTTTGGTCCAGCATCACGACTCGCCCCGGATGGCCCAGAGGCTCTCTCTGCTCCCTCTTCAAGGAACCAAGACTGTGTCCTCTGGGACAAGTGTTTCTCCTGAAGGCACTAGGAGCCCAAACCCACCCGCTCCAAGGTTGCAATTCAGGAAGCGTAAACGGCTAAGCATGAAATTAGGTGTCTCAAAACACAGGCTGAAAGAAACGTAAAGATCTTAACAAAGTCAAAGCTCTCGATTGGCTCCATTTGCGCTTCTAGAATCGGACAACACTTTCTTCTTCAAAATAGAACGAGCGATCCCATGAGAGCACAGGAGGCTGGTTTTATAGACGGGAGGGCTGAGGAAAGCAGAGACAGACAAAAAGTGGTTTTGCTGCTTCAAAGTTACTTGCCTCGTAAAGGTTAAAGGAGGGGGTTTCCTGGTGGTGCCAGCTAGCGCTGGCCTGTTAGGGATTTGGCTATTATCCGTCTCTCCTAATTATTCAGAAGGTCAGATCAACAGTTTGGTTTTGGCTTGGCGACGTGGAACTTTAGCGTGAGTGATGCCATTTTGGTCTGGTCTGCTGGGTCGAGTGTGGGGACTGAGCCAGACCAATGGCCTCCTGTACATTCTACTTCCAGGTGGAATAAGCAAGAAGGGCCAGTCCTGCTTCCACTTCTCAGTCTGGACACTGTGTATTCGGGCTCTGGAAATGCTACAGTGCACCGGAGGTGGTTTAGGGCAAATGCTGTTCTCTGGACCCCACCCTGCCCCTCCCTGGGTCCCCCAGATGGCACCACAGCTGAGCCTTCAGTAAGTCCTTCCCCCATGACATTGACTCATTGGCTTCTGGGTGATGGGACATAATTTCACTTCTCTGTCCTCCACATTCGTTTCTGATTCAGTGTGGGGGACCCTTGGGGCTCCTCCTTCAGCCGCCATCACGGTAAAGATAAGGGACTCTTCCAAGGTACCACAGAGGCTTTCTGACATCTGCCACCTGTGTCTTGAGATGGGAATGCGAGGTCTGAGCTTATCTTTCTTTCTTTCTGTACCAGGGATTGAACTCAGAGGCACTCAACCACTGAGCCACATCCCTAGCCCCTTTATTTTATTTAGAGACGGGGGTCTCACTGAGTTGCTTAGCAACTCACTTTTCCTGAGGCTGGCTTTGAACTCACGACCCTCCTGCTTCAGCCTCCAGAGCTGCTGGGATTACAGGTAAGTGCCACCGTGCCAGGCCTTATCTTTCTTTTTATTGGTCTCCAAGTCGGTCAGAGGCATACTGTAGGCCATATGGTCTTCATGGTGGCCTTTGTCACCAAGGTGACTGAGTGTCACTTAATCTCCCAGTACCTTGCCCTCTGTCTTATTCCACCACTGGTAACAATCTGAGCACTCACAACACACTAACAATGACTAGGGGGCTAAACCGCAGGGTGGGTATAAAGTAAGAGAAACAGTAATATATCGGAGATGCACAAAAAAATTAAAGTGTTCTAATGTCCTATCTTGGAGAAGTTTAAATAAATTAGCTGCAGATTGTTAAGTGTATGCATTATAATTTTAGGATAACAAACAAATTTAGAGTATAAAAGTTCTGAACTAATAGAAGAGAGATTAAATAGGAAGGAAAAATTTTAGCCCAGCCACCCAATCCTAGGCCAGAAGGGAGGAGGAAATAAAAAGGGAATCACTGAAAATGGAGTATTTAACCCCAAATATGTTAGTACTTGCATTAAATGTAGCATAAGGGTTCTGTTAAAATCAGTTTGCCAGGTTGAACCCCCCTCAAAATCCAAATGTACGCTTTTCACAGGACACATCTAAAATGTAAAGGTACAGGAATGTTGGACTGAAAAGATAACAGAGTGGCAAGTGGCCACCAGAGGAGCTGAGGGATGTAGTAAGGTCAGCTAAATAGACTGTAAAGAGGGTCGTGTCAGGGTTGGGGGTGTAGCTCAGGGGTAGAGGGCTTGCCTGGCATGCACGAGGCCCTGGGTTCAATTCCCAGCACCTCAAAAACAAAAACAAAAAAAAAGGTAGTATCACAACAATAAAAGTCTCAGCTCATCAGGGTATTAAAATACTCAATTGGTACACACTGAATCGCAGCTCCCCAAATGTATAAAACAAAAGTTGACAGAACTTCAAAAAGAAATAAAAATCACAGTGGTGAGTTTTTAACATATTTCTCTTTAATGAGTAAATTGAACATGAAAAAAATCAGTGAATATATAGAAAATCTAAACAATATCATTAATAAATTGATGTAAGCAAAAGACAGACATTGTACTCGTAACTGTCAGATACGTACATTATTTTTAATCTGTAAATATCCATCATCTTTCATGTGTTATTAAAGTTCATGAGGACTATTATAAACATTGACCAGAGACTGAGCCACAGAGAAAAATCTCAACTTTATTCACAAGGTTCACAGCATAGAAAGTGTATTTTATGAACACTTTCCAGTTAAGGTAGAAATTTTAAAAGATGATTGGATCTTGAAGGTTTGGAAATTAATAAATCACTTTAGAAATTCTTGGGTCAGCTATGCAGTCATATTGGAGACTAGAAAACAGTTTGAGGGTATTAATAGCTTAAAATGCTTATTATTGGAAGACAAATAAGCCAGATTAAATTAGGCATTTCTTCTCAAGGGATAAATAAAAATAAAGTAGAAAGAAATAATAAGTAAATAATAAAAATTTTAAAACCCATAAACCAGAATCAACAGAGCTCTTTTCTTTGAAAGAGTAATAAATTGATAAACCTCTAGTGAGTCTAATCTCAATGAAAAGATAGAAGGCACATTTGGCTAATGTCACGAACATAAAAGGACATAGCCACAGATATTGCATGCATTGAAAAATAAGAAAATAATGTTTTAAACAATTTTATATAAATGCCTTTGAAATTTAGATTAAATGTATAAGTTTTCTAAAATAGATAGACATGAATTTCTGAAGTATTTAGGACAACAACGTCAGAAAAATACAGAAAACCTGAATGGTTTTATAACTGTAGAGAAGAATCAGGTAAAAATCATCTCACAAGGAAAACTCTAGGTCCCAAGGGTTTAACCAGCAAATCGTATCAAAACTCAAGGGAGAAACAAAGAATCCCTTCTTCTCCAAATGCTTTGCTTATTTTTGGAGGCTAATGTGAAATTTATACCAAAACTCAACAGAAGTTAATCAGGCAAATATGGTGTGAATAGTAAACCAAAATTAGCAAGTTAAATTGATTTAAATATCAATAGGTGAATACGTCATAGCAGAAATGTATTTGCTCAGGTGGGTGTGGTGGTAATTTTCATTGGCCTATAATCCCAGTGGCTCCGGAGGCTGAGGCAGGAGGATTGCAAGTTCAAAGCCAGCCCCAGCAACTTAGTGAGGCCCTAAAGAACTTAGCAAGACTCTATGTCTAAATGTAATATAAAAAAAGGCTGGAGGAGCGGCTCACTGGTTAAGGACCCCGGGGTTCAATCCCCAGGTACCAAAAGAAAAATGTTTTTGCTCAGTCTTATCAGGCACACTTCAGGTGCTCAAAAGCGACCTGCGGTCAGTGGCCACAGCACTGGACAGCAGAGAGAACATGGCCATCATTGTAAAAAGCACTACTAGACACTCTATACATGAGAATCATGGAGCTATGGAGCAAAACAGTAAAACTCACACAGAGCAAAAATGGGGAAAAGGCATTCTCTGACAATAGACCAAAGAGAAAATCAAAATCAGTATTGCAGAATACCTAGAAGAAAATGTATCAAGCAACAATAGAATACAGTAATCTCCACTGCTAAAGAAACGTCAGTCATTGGCAGTAGTGGTGAGACCCGGAAGTCTACGCGTGAATCCTCAGAGCGAGGCAGAGTCCCACAGGGGCCATTGCTCTGCAAGTGCCAGGAAAGGTACCTGGACAGGAAATGAAGGTGCAGTATAAATAAGAGCCACGAAAAGACGGGACTGTCAACTTTCACAGACAATATGATCATCTACCTAAAAAACCCAAGAATTTACAGAAAAATCTTAGAATTCATAACCAAGTTGTTTGAATTAGCAGACACAGCTCTGCATACTAATCAGGATCTTATAATGAATCAACAAGTAGAATTCGATCCCTGTCTCACACCATACACAAAGCCATTCCAGATGGGGTCACATGATTTTGAGATGATTTAAATATAAATTATTTTGCATTGAAATTTTCCATGGTTAATTTTTTAGGTCATTGATTTTCATAAATTAATTTTACATCAACTTGGGGTGATTTGCAAGTCTGGACCTTTGTGTTTGCCACAACTGGGTGAGGGCAAGGGTGCTCCTGGTGTCTACTGCGTGAAGCCAGGGGTGTGCTAGGCACCCTACCATGTACAGGGCATCCCCCTCTCCCCCACAACCAAGTACTGTCCAGTTCCAATGGCAACAATGCTGAATTAAAAACTCTGCTGTAACCTGACACTTGAATGGGTTATTGTGTTGCCTCTAGTCATTTTCCCAGTTAACTTTGAATTTTCTAGGTATATAATCATACCAATTGCACATAATATAAAAGTATATACATACTAATTGCATAGAATAATCCTTTCCAGTACTTAGAGTTTTGATTTGGTTGTTTGAGAATGATGTTCACGGTGCACCCCTAGACTGTGTTCCCCTGAGGACCCCATCATGGTGAGATTCCTATGTCTCCCCACTGAGGACCCCAGAGCTAGATTTTGCTTTTGCAGGGACCTTGCAGGTGGCGTGCAGGTGGCGTGCAGGTGGCATGCAGGTGTGTGCCTGAGCTCACCCTGAGGCTTTGTGGACGTGGAGAAGGGCTCTGTGCTCACTTTGGTGGCCTTGACCCTGAATGAGGCTGTCCCTGGGTCAACTGGGCCGTGGTTCTCCCGTCGTTGTTTCCTTAGATTCTGACCCACTTTCTGCACTTGGAACTTTAGCACCTGCGATCTGTCAGATGCCAATGTCCCATGAATGGCTTCTCTTTTTTGGCTTAGGTTAACCCAAATTGGCTTAAGTTAACCCCCCCCCCCCACACCTTGGAATGTGAAGTAACGGTCGTGGTATTGGGTGCCCTTCTTTCTGCTGTTCCTGACTGTGAGAAGCCATCTCTGCTTCCCATTCATTCCTGAAACAAATATTGAAATCCACAAGTTCATTCCAGGCCACCAACATAGGGGTCCTTCTGGTTTTCTGTCTTTCCATGTGTGTCAATACCTTCTTCAAGAAACTAGTTTCCCATTATTGGCGTATGTTTGCTCATTTCTTTTTCCCCATGGCTGTCACTAGCGGCTGCTCCTCCCTGCGTGGCTGCTGACCTGGTCCTGCGAGGCTCTGCTTCCCCTTGCCTGGACGCCCTTCGCCATCCCCAGGAGGCTCCCACAGCACCCTGCTGGAGCTCTGACACCCCCACAGGGCCATCCCTGAGTGCACCCACACCCAAATGCCCTCCCTGCTTGAGTTCTGACGCTCCTCTCTGATGTTCTTGGATAGAAACCATCACACTCTTTTGGGGACACCCAACTGCATACAGCCCACCTTGATCTTTCATACCTGCCGGCTCTAAGGCTGTACTGGTTAGGAAAGGTAGAAAAGGGGGGAGAAGGGGCGGGGCCGGGAGGGAAGGGGAGGAGCAGGGACAGGAACAGTGTGGTGGTCCTGGATCTACTTTGATGTCAAGCTGAGAGGGTTTCTGAGTGGAAGTGGGGTAAAGAGGAGGAGAAGCGAGCGCGACTTCAAAAGCTTTGGCCTGAGCTGCTGGAAAATGCAGCTAACATTTACTGAGGCAGGGGACAGGCTTGGAGTGGAAATCTAGAGCAAGGTTTCCACGTGACGAGTTTAAGTCACCTATAGGTATTTGGGCAGGCAGTTAAATGGGTGGGTCTGGAACTCTAGAGAAGGAAGCAGGATGAAGAGCCGTACTTGGGGGTGAGCAAGAGTTGGATAGTGTTTACAGTCTTGGGCTGGATGAGATTGCTCTGGGGCTGGGTGGAGATGGCAGAAGCAAGTGGCTCAATCCTAGGGTGGAACCGAGCCACGTTTATTCAGAAGCATTTAACTTTCTTTCGGTTTTTTTGCAACTAGATAGGTAGGTAGGTGCCATCCTAAATTAAGGAGATGATTTTATTTCAGGAGGCTTCTGTTGGGAAAGGTGCCTGAATTTTAAGAGATGCTCCTTCAGCCTCTAGCAAACTCCTGCACAGCAGAGTTTCCTCTAGTCTATGTTTGAAGATCTATTTTAATGGATTTTCTAGCATTGAACTATATGAGTAATTCTTGGCATTTGGCCATGGTATGTCAAAAACTTGCTGGAGGTTTTCAGTTGCCACCTGTCAGCTTGGAATTCTCCAGGTGATATTCACAGGGAGATTCATCTGCAATTTTTGCCTTCTTCTGTTACCATGTTACATTTTATGTTCTGTGATGCCTTCTCTGTACACATAATTGCAAAGGTCTGTAAAACATTTTTTCTCTTTATGTTGAATCACAATGACCTGTTGATATTTTGAAATGATTTAATAAGATTCTGTAAGCATGTATCATTTCCCAGTCTCTTTAACAGGTCCATCTTTTCTTGAGACTACTTTTATAATTTACAAGTTCCTGAGGAGTCATTTGTTTATTACAAGTTTTTCAGTTATAAGCAAGGAAGTGAACACAAAACTCTCTAATGAACTGGAATCTTTCACAGGGACCACCTTCCTGCTCATCATTTCCATCCTTTGGTCCACATCCTGTGTGAATCTGGACTCTGAGCTACTGATTTTGGTTTTTGTGCTAAGCATTTGAGCTTAGGTCTCTGATTTGATTTGGCTTTTTCACTATGATCATTTTTCTCCTTTATTGTTGTCCATGGATGGTTTTCTTTTTTATTCTGTCTTATTTTTGTTTTGTTGATCATTTAAAAGTCTCCTTTTTTTTTCAAGAGACTGAGTTGCTTAGGAACCTTGCTAATTTGCTGAGCCTCCTGCCTCAGCCTCCAGAGCCACTGGGATTATAGGCGTGGGCCACCGCGTCCGGCCTCCTTTTAATTTTTAATGCTCTATTATTTTTATACTTTATGGTTTGTCGAAAACAGTGCTGGAGCTGGGCGTCTGCACTGGAGTGCTTGGTCTTTTCAAGACTTGCCCAGGAGCTCTGATTCTTGTCCAGCAGGGGGCACACCTGGACTTGGATGGGCTCCCTGCCTCCGCGTGAGCAGAATCCCCTGCTGGGAAACGGAGTTAGACCGTAAATCTCCGACAAGGAGAATTTTTGTTTGATGAGTCAGTGCATCCATTTGCCCAGGTGTTGCAAGATCAAGTGGCTACAGGACAAAGGCAGGCGTAAGTGTGTGCAGTAGCCCTGGGGTAAGCAAAGCAGCAGGGCAGAGGACACCTGAGCTTTCGCTCAGACAGGGGACCGGGGACAGGGGGCGGGGCTCAGTCAGAGGACAGGGGACCGGGCACCGGGCGGGGAGTCCGGACCAGAGGGAGCCGGGCCGTTCCTTCAGCTGCAGCGGAACGCCGTCGGGCTGGATCCCAGATCTTCAGATATTTCAAGGGAAGCAAAGCATTCGGATTATTGGACAAGATCTCCAAATTTTAAACCACAATCAATGAATTTAAAATATTTGGAGAAGCCGCAAGCAAACTGAATGCAACCGTGAACTGGAAGATTTTTTTGGCGCGTGGCGCGGGACCCGCTGTACTTACTCAGCACGGGATTCCAGTTATTCATCACTTTCCCCTAGGGTCAGGAAAACTACAAGGACGTCTGCTGTCCACACTCTGGTCAGTACTGTACAGAAATGGCTAGAGGGCGCAGTGAAGCAGGAAGAGAGTAAAAGGAATCGGGATGGGAAGGGAAGAAACAAAGCGTCATTGTTTTCAACAAGACCCTGTGTGGGGAGAACCCCAGATATCCTACCGCGCAGATTATCGGCCTTAGCAAGTGCGTTTAGCAGAGTAGCTGCGTTCAAAGACCAGCGAGAGAAATAATAATAGCAATATACAATACAATATATACCATGCTCATAAATCAGAACTTGTGCTATTTTAATTCTCCAAGACCCTGGGTGTGGAGGTGGGCAGCGCTCAGAGCTTTGTCCTCCCAGACCCAGCCCAGCCTGGCAGGGGGAGGCTGCAGGTGGCTGCCAAAGAGCCCAGGTGTTCTCCATCTCTGTTAGTTCCTGACGTCCGTCCTGTTTTTTCGAGACCATCCCATGCTACTTTTCTGCTCTCGAATGCTACCTACCTCTTTCTTCAGGCCCTTTCACATACGGATCGTGGTTATCTTTAGATTCCCTGTGAAATCCCACCAGTAGGTACAACTATAATGCATCAGTTTTTAAATGTGTGTGTGTGGTGGGGGGGGGGGAATTCCCTGTGAGATTAGGACACCTCTGCATTGTATCTGAATCTGATTCTGTTGCTTGGTTTGTCTCTTCAGATTACAGAGACGTTTTAAAAGTGGGCCTAATATGGTGGTCCTTTGATTTTCTGGGGGACTGGTTCTGATACCATCATGGGTACCCAAATCCACAGAGGTTCAAGTCCCTTCTGTGGAGTGGTGTAATATTTGCATATTTGCATAACCTGTGGGCTTCCTCCTGCACGTTCAACTCTCTCTACATTACTGAGAATACCTAATGCAGTGTCATGCTGTGTATTTGTTATGCTGTGCCATTTAGGTAATAATGATCATAAAACAGAACCTGTCCGTGTTCAGTACAGATGCAATTAAAAAAAATTCTGTATTAGCAATCGGTTGATCTGAGGGTGCAGAACCAGCAGATAAGAAGGACTGTGTACCTATGAGCAATGACCAATCTGCAGCAGCAGGAAGCCAATCCTCATCTCCAGTAACTAGCCCAGCTGCCAGTCCACTGCCAGAAGTCAGGCTCCGAGGAGATCAGACCCCTGTCTCTAGCAGCCAGCCCAGGAAGCTCAGCAGGGACTTCTGCAATGATTGACCCCAAATGGCCAGGGCGTGAATAACTGACAGCTATCAATAATTGACATTATTAATATTATTAGTAACTGGTAACTTCCTGTATTTTCATCCCTGCTTCCCTCATGGGACCAATCAGAGAAAGTCAAATATGCCCCCTCCCCGGTCCCAGAGGATTTCTCACTCTGGTTAGCCTGCAGACTGCTGCTGCGCCAAGGCCTCCGACAGGCGTGCCCGAAGCCCGCCCCTTAGCCACCACAGAGCTCACCCCCTCTTCTGCCTGTGTGGAGCCTCTGCCAAACACAAGTGGTGGTGGTGGCTCCCTCCGGGTAGCCAGCTGGGATGCCTGTCCTTTGCCTGTCCTCATTGGCTTGGACTTTATTTCTACAGTGGGTTATTCGTTTTGGTTTTGTATCCATGGGCTCTGGAGAGGTTCTTGTTAGAAAGCACGAATGTATGTCAGCATCGTTCCCAGAAGCCCAGGGAGGGCTTGTAAACTCTGAGACTGAAATCAAGCT